TAACTTGTGGTAATGGAGATAATAGAGACAAATTCTTCAGGATGAACAACGTGAGGTATCCTCTAAGTTCAATTCAGCAAATCAATTCATCCAATCCTTTTCCATCGGGTCCTCAAGTCTCGACCTCTGACGCTAAAACATGTGAAGAAGCTTGCTTGAATAACTGTAGTTGCAGTGCATATGCATATAACACAAGTCGCCATTGCTTAAGATGGTTTGGTGACCTTTTTGATCTTCAACAACTTGAAGCAAAGGATACTAGTGCAAGAACGATCTTTATCAGACTTGCAGCTTCCGAATTCGACAATGGCAGAGGTAGTTTCTTTCTAAAAGCTTTTAACTATATTGGCTATTAAATTATTTCGGAACTTTTAATTTCTTGAATTCGATTTCTAGGGGACAATGAGTATCTATGGATAATTGCAATCCCCATTGTTCTACTGGTGCTTCTTTCTGCATCCTTCATTGTTTTTTGGAGGAGGAAGATGTTTAAAGACAAAGGTATTGAGTTTTGTATCAGTCTTTGTGAACTGATCGGTTTGCTTGATCCATATGCTAACCTCACTGTCTTCAAAAACAGGGGAGAGGGATGATACAAGCCAGGATATACTGCTCTTTGATGTGGAGATGAGCATCACCACTAGTAGCAGAGAATTTTCAGATACCGACAACCCCGGGAAACTTACGAGGAAGGACACCACGTTTCCATTGTTTAGCTTTGCTAGTGTATCGGAAGCTACTGAAAATTTTTCTTTGGAGAATAAGTTGGGAGAAGGGGGATTTGGTCCTGTTTATATGGTATCAAGTCTATAATCTTTTAAGACTAGTACCAGAAATCAAGCTCAAGTTTTCGGATGGTTTTGATTGCAGGGAAAACTATTAAACGGACAAGAAGTGGCAGTGAAAAGGCTTTCGAAACGGTCCAGACAAGGGCTCGAAGAATTAAAGAACGAGACGATGCTTATAGCAAAACTTCAACACAGGAACCTTGTTAGGCTATTAGGTTGCTGTTTAGAACATGGGGAAAAGATACTGATCTATGAGTTCATGCCTAACAAAAGCTTGGATTCATTTCTTTTTGGTTTGTGATTTATGAATGCTTAAACCTTCCCTTTTCTCCCCAAGGTTTGCTTTTGTCATGCAACATTCTTTTTTTTTTCTTTGCAAATCTGTAACAGGTTCAAACAATCAAGGACTACTAGACTGGGGAACAAGAGTTCGAATAATCGAGGGGATAGCACAAGGGCTTCTATATCTTCACCAATATTCGAGACTACGGATCATACATCGAGATCTGAAGGCAAGCAACATCCTGTTAGACAGTGAAATGAACCCGAAAATATCGGATTTCGGGTTGGCAAGAATGTTAGGTGGTGACAGGTTACAAGCAAATACTAATAGGATTGTAGGAACATAGTAAGTGGAGTACAGTATTATCATGCTAGCTTTAATAATCCTTCATTGAAGAATCTAATCAACCTTTTTTCTATGTAAACACAGTGGCTATATGTCGCCGGAATACGCCATGGAAGGCCTCTTCTCCATTAAGTCGGACGTGTTCAGCTTCGGTGTCTTGCTGTTAGAGATACTAAGTGGCAAGAAGAACACTGGATTTTACCATAGCGGTTCTCTGAATCTAATTGGACATGTGAGTGACAAAATCTCTCCACTTTTTCCCCCCAAGGTTTTATTTATGTCTTTTGTCGGACATGTGAGATATTAAAACACGTTGGTTTTACTCAAGGCATGGGCATTGTGGGAAGGAGATAGAGGAGGTGAGTTGGTGGATCCTAAACTGAAAGACCAGGTTTCATATCCCATGCTGCTGAGGTACATTCATGTGGCTCTTCTTTGTGTTCAAGAAATGGCGGCTGATAGACCGACAATGTACCAAGTTGTCTCCATGCTTACCAATGAGCTCACGGTTCTAGTTTCTCCCAAAAAGCCTGCTTTCTCTAATGCGACAAGTACGACCCATGATTCAAATCAGCCTGCAACGTTCTCGGTGAATAGCGTCACGGTTTCTTTGATGGAACCAAGATAGTTATTTTTCATTATTATTCATGTAACACTCCAATATCGTTGTGTTTGTCTCCTAGCAGTTTTCTCCTCTCCCTCTCTCCTCTCTTCTTTCTCTTTACAATTTATGTTAATTTTTATAGATCAAGTCAACTTTTTCTTTTTAGATTTTGTTTAGCAGGTGACGACATCAGTTTTGATACTGGTTGTCGATCATCGGTTGTATGTTCTTTTTTGTATTTCTAGTTTTTAATAAAAATAACTATTTCTTTGTGACATATTTATTTGTCTTTATGACACATTTTTCTCCACATTTTGATAGTTTTTGATCGTTTGGCCGTTTTCGTTTATCTTTTTTTAGGGTTGAATTTGACATTACCACGATTGATCAAGATAGTGATTATTTGTTATCATCCTAATCTTTCCTACTTTGAATTCTCGGATTGATTTGGATACGTGTTTTGCATTCTTAGATAGTTTATTCATGTCGTTTGACTCTGATTTGCGAACTTTAGGTGATCTTTCAATAGTTTCATCCCATTTTATAATTCTTTTGCCAATGTAGTTAGATTGTTCGTATATTTAATTTGTTCGAGCATTGGTTAGGTTTTTAAAACTTTTCTTTTTTTGATCTTTGTGTGATCTAGCGGCTAATTTTTGTGTCAATGGTTATAGGAAAATGTCCTAGCTATATTTATATTTAGTTTACAATTATAGTTACACTTATAAATCTTTATTATAATTTTGAATATTTTTTATTTTTAATAAAATCAATAAATTCCTTTGAAAATTTATATATAATTTTAATATTTGCCCCTTCATTAAATCGCAGAAAAATATATCATAATTATTAGTTTCTCTAAAATACCCTTTTACATGGATGCTTTCATTTTGGTACATTTATTTCTGTTTTTTGTTGTTGTTAATTTTAACTTTATGAAGTGAATTGATCATTAAAGGGTACTGATCCCAAAGCATTGTAAAAGATATATTTATAAGGTCTAATATAAAAATAAGTGCATAAATTATATTTAAAATTAATTTTTAGGTGTTCAAAAAAAATTTTGTTAAAAATATGTGTTTAAAAGTTTTTTTTCATTTCACTTTTAGGTACTTACTGTTAAAAAAATTCGGTAAGTGACACGTGTCGCGTTCAGATTTTTTAAAATATATTTTGATTAATATTTTATTTGAAAAAATTAATTTTTTTAATAAATGTGACACATGTCACTTAACGATTTTTTTAAACGGTAAGCATCTAAAAATGTAACGGAGAAAACTTTAGGTACTTATTTTTAATGAAAAATTCTTTAAACACTAAAATATTTTTCGAAACATAATATGAACATTTATTTTTATATTAAGTCTATTTACAAAGATTCTTTTAAAGCCAAAGAGATTATAAAGTTTCAAGCTTACTAGAGTAAGAGTAAAGAAATATATACCAACTCATACTGGTTTTTAAGATTAATTTTTTTATGTACGAACAAAGTAATCTCAATAATAAAAGAATTATTATTTTTTTTAGGTATTGAATTCGAGCATCAAACACATTATGAGTGTGAACGTTCAATTCAATGTTAAAATAATTAAGAATTATCTTTAAATAGATATTACTTGTACTTACTATAAATTAATAAAAAAGTTTTTATTTTTTATTTTTGAAAAATATATTATTAGATGGTAGAATCTCATAAAGTTACTTCATCATTACTCTACAGGTATCAATTTTTCTTTTTCATCTCTTTATATAATATTTTTCCTAAATAATTTAATTAATTCATTAAAAATCAATATTTGATTTATCATTTTACATATCACCAATGATCTAAATAACAATATTTTATTAAAAATTAAAATCAATTTATTTAAGTTTGTTATCGGCCATATATCATAACTTTATTCACTTATAATACATAAAATTACACACAAATAGTATATCAAATATTATTCTTAATTAAATTTGTTAATAATCCTTATTTTCTTAAATTAATCCACGTAAAAGAAAAAGAAAGAAAGAAAGGTAACATTACAAAACTAATTTTAGAAATGATCTTCATTATATTCTATTTTTAGTTAATATATATCTTTTTATAAAATCAATAATGAAGATTAAATTAAGATATAAAATACACTATCATCCTAAAATATATAACATAAGATTTTTTAATTATCTTATTTTAAATTTTAACTCACAAATTAATTATCTCATATCGATAGGTATTTACAATCATTTCATATATATCATATTTAAATTCTGATAAAATAAATTATCAATATATTATCGTTTTTGTTATTATATTAATATCGTTTATGTTCATTCGTCATACATATAATGATAAATTATTATATCATTATTTTTTAAAATCATTTTATTAGATTTTTAATTTTTAAATGATCCTATTTCATGATACAAGTAAATTACATTTTAATATATATTAAAATATTTAATAATTTACATGATATTTATATTAGTGTTTACCATTTTTATTTTTTCCCTTTACCTTCCAATAAAAGCTCAACAACGTATAATACAATAATACATTAACCCATAATCGTATCATATTATTTATTTAAATAATATAAAGCCTGAAGGAGGAGCTTTAGTGTCCCACCTTGTGACATCCACTAACCCATATATTCCAAATAATATTATTAGTAATAATAACATAATTAAAAAAAGTTGGATTTTCAATCAAATGGTATCCCCACACTTAAATTAAAGCCCTAATTGACAATGTTTGTAACAAAAATCTTTTAATCTTTCACATTTATTTTTTCTAATTTTTTTTGATATAATCAATGATATCCGATCTATTAATCGACTAATCTTTCAAATTTTCCTCTAAAAAAATCAGTAATTGTTTTTTTTTTGTCAATATCCCAAATCCAACATAACTTGTTCATAATAATTAATTTTAAATTATTACAAACAAATTATTCTTTTCCAATGGTTTACTATCTGAATAACCCTAATCCACAGTTATATCTTCGTTTCTACCTGAATGTTCCCCCGAACGTCGGCGTCCAAAAATCCACCGACGACTCGTGTGTCACCGGAAACGTGCTTGAGACGGGCACGAGACACAGTCCCCGGCTTCTTAGATCTTGTTTAAACCCTTCAGGGTCCATGGACTTCTCATAGTTCTGAATTAGTAAAGGAAAAATTTGCTTAATCATGGTTTACGTATAATGAATCAAAGGATTTTATGAAGTATTATTATTACCTGGTGATGATAGTGAGTGGCAGCTCCATTTTTCATGTATGAAGTACTTAAAACCTGACAGAATATAGTAAGGAAAAGGGGGAAACTTTTGATATTTTATGCTCTGAATCTTTTTATAAAGGATCACTAGTTGATAATGAAGCTTACGTTGACTTGATCATGGAGGGATTTTATGTACTCAATGGCTTCTGACAGCACTGAGGCTGTATCAGTCTACATATAATGGGAAGAAAAAAAACAATCATAAACTTTCACCTTTCGAATCAAAATCAGATATTTAAATTACGGCTGTGATTGTATTTTCGATTATGTTATATTTATCAAGATTACAGACATAACAAATATTATTTGATAACGATTATTATTTCAACGGTTGCTATTTAAATCCCTTGTCAAGATATGAATTCCCATTCAACACCATGCTATTTAACTATAGAAATTGATAAGAAAACTCACTTTTCCGAAGGGTGAAACCAATTGTTGGAGTGCAGAGATTCTATCTCCCATCTTCTCTTTTCTCACCTTTCATGATCAAAGCCATAGAAATTCTCGTCTTTATTTACGTAGTATCATAAAGGGATTAAATTATAAACTTCTGCGTAATTAAAGGACTAAAATCAAAATTAGACGAAGAAGAAGAAGAAGAAGAAGAAGAAGAAGAAGAAGAAGAAGAAGAAGAAGAAGAAGAAGAAGAAGAAGAAGAAGAACTGTACCTTGAAAGCGGGCAAAGATGGGGTTTCACTTCGAGGCCTTTTAGATGAGGCTTCGTTTACACTTTTCTTCACCACAGTGCTCGAGTCTCGAACCCCAGATATTTTCTAATGACATGTGAAGATAAAGAATTCAATACACAAAATATTCCAAACCCTAATATAAAAAAAGTAAAAGATTCTTCAAAACAAAGTGTTCTTTTTTTAAAAGAATTACCTTTGGCTTTTCACAGAAGTGTGTTGTTTGAATCTGGGTTTGCAGTGATGGGAGAAACCCAGGCGGGGTGACATTATGATCAGCCGCCGCTGCAGATGGATTCCAAAAAGGAGCATTGTTTGAGAAATGTAACTGTCCATGTTTCGGAGGCGAATTTCTCAAGAATTGAGGGACTTTAGACCAAGAATTAGGCAACAGTTGATGATGATCATTGCTGTTCATCCCATATTGATAATCATTGATCGGACGACTCCCGTGAACTTGATTGTTTTCAGACCCCAACATGAATCCTTGCAGAATCGATGAGAATTCCCATATAAAGCTGTTGAATCCATATTGATAACGGTTGAAGTTTCCAGATTATGTTCTTCGAGCATGGATTTGAAACTATTCACATTCTTTTCCCCACGGCTGTGAAACACACATCAAAAGCTTTATTCAACGCCTTCAAAACATAACACATATACATTCACACACACACACATATATATATATATTGCAGTACTTACATAAAAGCTTGATTCCAGTCCATAGGTTGAGAGGAAAGGCCGAGCTCCATCATGTGTAAATCAGCAGCTCCAGCTTGAAGTTTTGGGTTATCTTGAAAAACGACTGATGATGGTGGTGAGATGGAATCAATGGAAGATGCTGGTTTGATATCAGCCATTTCCGGTGCCCAACCAAAGGTTCCCAAGCTATTGTTTAGAGCAGAAGATGAAGAAGAAGAAGAACTTGCAGCTGTTCTATCCCACCAGTTTGTTCCTGCACCAAACTCATCTGCCATGGCTGAAATATACTACTTCTTGTTTCTGGCAGGTTTGTTTGATGAGTTTTTATGGCTGCATAAATTTTTTTAAAATATATATATATATGGGAGTAAATTTATCTTAACGGTAATCAATAGTATATTTCTTTTGACTTAGGTAAAGAGTCGTAATCGTTGAGTGAATGTTATTAACTAGTAGACTATTTTTCTGTGGGACAGATGAATGTATAAAGAACATAGAACATCCAAAAAGAGAATGAGGGGAGAAGATCTCCTCCTTAATCGAGACTTTAAATGAGATTACCACCATAAAATCATTTTGATTACTCGTAGATCAATGAACTAAAAAGATCTAATGATCAAATCTTAGAATCCGTCTTATAGATTAAATAGGACGGTTAGTGTTTTTATCTATGTATTATAGTTGATCTAAAGGATATCTAACTTCTTGAAGTTTATAATAAGATGAGAGATCTATCTAAAGCGGTTTAAATGACGAAAGATCGATAATTTATGAAATTCATTTTCGAAGATATAACATCATTAAAAATTTAATAACTAGAATTCAATCGAATAAAATTAATTTAATGGAAATTGAGGCGACTCAAAGCGAAACTCCATGCCCACTAATGGACGTCTCTATCAAACGATTAAACAGTTTAACTTGAAGTACTACGGAGAAAGCAGTGATCGGGATGCGGTTGACATTTCAGGGCAAAAGGCCAATTGAAATTGATTTTCTCCTTTTTTATTTAATTATCGTTTGATGTTTTAAATAAATACCTTTAAATTGTCTGTTACAGTTAAAATAATATTTTTTTTTCAATTTTATTACAGTCTTCTATTCTTATATAATTTTGGTTTTCTTATGTATTTCCTTATTTTATAGTATTTTAAAAATATAAAAAATACATAATTTTCCATAAAACTAGGTCATGATTAAGGATTAAGGATGGACATGGGACCCGAACCTGAACCCGATAGGTTCTTACCCGACCCGACCTGATTGGATTGATCTCCTCGGTGAAATGGTAACTCACACCCAATCTTTGGACTGCATCGATGAAGGTTAACTTTTGGCTCAAATTGTCCATCGGTGCCACAATCGTCTTCCTCGCTGCTTCTTTCAACTCTTCATGTCGATGTCTAGTTTGAGCATCGATTTCCTGCTCGAAACAATGGAAATTCCTTGGTATTAAAATCACTAAAATAATTAAACAAATAATATATTGCCATTAAATTCATGTATATATACCTGGTCAGGACAATTGAGGAAGAGATCACCCCAGATGCTAGGCTGAAAATCGGCCTTGGGACGAATTTCTTCCTTATCGGAGGGAGTGGCAGTAATGGGTGATGAAGAAGGAATTTGAGAAACTTGTGATGCCATTTCGATGGATTCAAAGGCTAATTTTCTTCCTTTTTTGGTTTACTCCCGAAATTTAGCATAGAGTTTGTGAGGTTAGGAGTGCAATTGCATGTATTTATAGGTAAAAATATTTGTAATTTTAAGTAAAAAAAGATGAGTTAAATTCAAAAGGAAATTGTAGAGCAAAGTATGTAGGGTCCAATGAAGGATAAATTGCAAATAGATTGAAAAATCATGCGTTGAGTCTTCTTTTGTTTGTATCCTTTTTCTTCAAAGTTGATGCCTCTGTAATATTAGTATGATTGAAAGTCAGGTTGATGTAAATTTTGAGTCACTGGTTCCAATTGAACTGAATTATTTAATTGAATTATAAAGTACAAGTTATTTTTTATTCGAAATTAAGTTAATAGTAAAAATAGAACTTAATATGTTTTTCTATTTTTTTATATGTAAAGAGTCAAATGAGGTATCAATTATAAGGATAGTTCTGCTCTACGGCAGTCTAATTTAAGGCTAAGAAAAGTCGTGACCGAAAATGTTAATTTTTTTAACATTTTCGGTTGTCAACAAAAAAATGTTACGAAGAATATTTGCAACAAAGAAAATTAAGAAAAAATTAACATTGTAAGTCACGTCCAACAAAAATGTTATATTTTTTATAATATTTTTGATCACGTCTTTCTTTAACCTTAAACTAAACTTATCTTTTCTTAAACTTCTCAACTATCAAAAATATATTTAAATTGAATTGTAAAAAAAAATTAGTTTCTCAACGTGAAATCATTATTATATACATTTTTATGTTAATATTGATGGTGTTTATCTTTCACCGTGCTAATCATGTTTGTTTTTATCTATTATTTTTGAGTTGTTTGATTGAATTTTTAATATTTTCATTGAATTACCCTATTGTATTAAAGAATTAATTTGTGCATTTTATTATTATAAGAAATAATCGATTTCTTTGAGTTAATCTATTATGATTTTCTAAAAAATATATATAGTTTACTCATATTTCCTCTATATTCAATGGCATTAAAATTTATTTTTAAAATTATCGTACTCGTTGCCGGGGCGACTTCTAATGCCGTCGTTGGAAGCGGAGGTGATTCGAGATCGGTTGTCGGTCGTTGTGTTGGGTTGTTGTATCTGATTAGTAAGTGTTGTTTTCCAATGTTGACGCCTATAAAATAATACTAATAGATAATGTTTAGAGGTGTATAACAACACACATTTTTTAATTGAATATCATCCATTGATCTTAAACTTTTAGAAATATCATATTGGGTCCTTCCCTCAGCCGATCGCCACTTGTCGACCAGAATGTGGTAGAGGGAGAGTACCATGTACTAGAAGTCAACAGGTGCTGCTGGGTCATTCACTCAAGCAGTTGAACTAATTGAATAGAAATTACAACCTTGAAGCATCTTCACATAAATATCACTTCATGTGTTAATACCATAGAACATTATCAGTAAAAACTTATATAATTATTTTTAATAGATCGTGTCACGTGAGTCCTACAGTCCAAATTATTTTTACTTTTGAAAGATCTAAATCATTTTTTAAAATTTCATTTTGTTTTTCAATATTCATTTTTGCTTTAAAAAGAAAATCATTTTCAACTTTAAATTTTGAAATCATTTTCTTGTATTTGGAGTTCATGGTCTCGAACTCCGAAAATAATTCATCGTATGCATTTTGTAACTCATTAAAAGAATATGAATTAGATTCACTAGAGTTAGAAGATACATTGGGCTCTTCAAGAGCCATTAAGCACACTACCTTTGGTGGTTCTTCTTTCTTGTCACCGTGAAGTTCTTCGAGCTTATTCCAAATGCACAACACAACATGTGCATGACCTTGGCATTTTGTTGAGTTTTCTTTCGTTCTTGGGCACTCCACTCATTCGTCTTCTTCTTTGGAGAAGAGTAGCCGTTCTCGATCATCTCTCATGTATCAAGATCATTTGATTGGATGAATAGCTTCATTAATTTCTTCTAATGACGATAGTTGGTTCCATTGAAGTATGGAGGCTTGTTGATCGGTTGGGAGTCTTCAATGTGGAATGAGTCGTAGGTGGAAGTCATGTTCCCAGTTGTGTCGGAAATGGATAAAGCTTCTTCAAGGTTCGTCTCAAGATTGTTAGACCTTCTAATAAGTCAAGCTCTGATATCAATTGTTGGGATTATTCGATGAAACTCAATGATCAACCGAATGAATTGCCAAGAGGGGGTGAATTGACTTTTTAAGATTAAGGAGTAAGGAGTATAAATGATAGGAAAATTTTCACAATGATTTATAGTGGTTCGACTTCTCAACCAAGTCTACATCCACTACCTTAGCTCCTCACTAAGGATTTTCTAACAAATTTACTAATTTATTCTTTCTTTTTACAGGATCAAGAGAAAACATTTACACTCCCTAGCTTTTCAAAGGCTTAGCTAGAACCACTCCCCTGTTACAAAAGAAATAAAAAAGAGTAAACAAGAAAACCTCTAAAAGGTAGGTGTTTACAAGATTGAGCTCACTAAAACACTAATATTTATAAGAGAAAGGAAAATGAGAATAAAAAGCTATTCTCTTGTGTTTGATTGCTTGGATAGGTGTTCTCTAACCTTCTTCAAGTGTCCTAAACTTGTTTTTATATGTTGGAATGAGTTTGTGGTCGTTTCTAGCCGTTGGGGATTAAATTTTTGCAAAATAAAACTACTAAGGACAGGGAGTATCGGTACTCCTTTAATGAGTATCGATATTTCCTTTATAATTTTTAAATAAATTAGTCGTTAAAGACCATTGGGTTGACCAATATTAAAAAATTGAACTAATAATAATAAATATTAAAAAAATTAAAACTTTAATAACAAATATTAAAAACAATTTTATTATAATTAATAAAAATCATTTTTTTACAAAGCATAAAATCTTATAAAATTTATGGTCCCTAGGAAGGTGCCCCTCCTACCAGGCCCTAATACGGCCGTGGAGGTGATGAAAATTAAGATTATATCAGTTTAGAGTCTTAAAAACCCTAACAGAAACCCACCATTTCTCCCTCTCGTTGATGTGATTCTTAGCTTCAATTTTTGTTTCACACAGTTTTTCTTTTTAAAGTTTTGAGTTCAGGGTCTGATAGATAACATGTTCTTAATGGAGTTTGTTGATAGGGTACTAGTTAGAAGGAAGCTTTAGGTATTATAGTTTATGTGATTATAATGGACCAATCATTGTCTTCTACATGATATAAAGATTTTAATGTTCATTATTGAGATAAATACACCATTTTTATGTCCGTTGATTTAATTGACGTTTTGCAACATTTCAAATGCTCCGATAAATCTAATGAAATTGTGTATATTTGTAACGCAAACACATTCCGAACGTTGAAGACATATATATGAAGACATATAATACTGATATAATATGATATGTTGTGATAGACATCGATAAAAAGAAATGTATATTCAAAGTGAGTAGGTTATTGAAAAATGTAATATATTTCATATTTTGTTAGAGGAACAATGTTATCCGGTTAGTTTCAAATATTTAAAAAAACATGATATCTTAATTTTCAAAGCAAATTTATCCATTCAAAACGGATAGAAATAATTATGAAAACGTCGATTCCATTATTTCCATCATTTCATTTCAAATGCTCTGAAAAAGGAGAGATTTATTATTATTTTTTTTTATAAGTAGAAGTTTATTCATCCAAAAAGAAGCAGTAAGCTGCTACAAATGACATCAAACAGCCTAGATTAATCCCCAAGCTAGGCTCAACCTCCTATTAACATCATTTATCCTATTCATATGACATCTATACAATTTAATTCTTACAAACTCTCTAATGCTATTTACAATCGTATCAGCAGAACGAATCACACCACGAAAATGTCTGCGATTACGTTCTTCTTAAAGAAAATAAACAAAACCAGTCCACATGAGCTTTAGAATATGAACAAAGAGGGATTTACCCTTCAAGTTCGAAATCATGCAGTGCATGGCATCATCCCAACAGGTTATCATCTGTAATTGGAGATCACAAGCATGCAGAATGGCTTTCCATATCACCCTTTCAAAGGAACATTCCAAGAACAAATGGTTTCGAGATTCTTGATTATCACCACACAATCCACAGACATTAACAGTGACAATGCCAAACCTTGCTAACCTGTCTTTGGTTGGCAATCTATCGAGAATCACCATCCAAGCAATAATGGAGAATTTTGGGATATGAGATGGGAACCAAATAACCCTATGTCACTCAACCTTAACCCTCCTATCACGGATACGATCTCAAATCCAGCCACCTTTGATCTGTGACCAAATAGAACCCGAAATGAACAATCTCCTAGCCTCCTCTCTAAGTTTAATCAGCTTGTTGAGGATCCAACTAAAATGGAATTTTCTGTCAACATTCCAATAGTCCGAAGGAGAGATTTAATGGTATGTTGCAACATCATAAAATTAAGAATTGATTACTAAATTTAAGTATTATATATACTGATTCAACTAAATGTTTGTTATCAGAATAAAGATCCCAAGAAGAAGAAGAAAACCTTGAAGCATTTGTTCAGCTCAATGTAAGAACCCTTCTTCAATCAAAGCATAACTTCTTTCCTTGTCAACCTTTCTTTTTACATGCATTATAAGCTGCTTTTTTATTTTTTTATTTCGAAATTTATTCTAGTTTAAGCTTGATTGATATTGTTTCTAGATTTTGTTTTAATCTCAGTTTCTGGGTTTTGTTTGTTTTGTTGATTTGTGATTCCAAGTTTCAATCTTTCATCAACTTTCTAAGAAAAAATCTGTTTTTTTTTGCAGGTTTCAATGGTTTCTTATTGAGGGAAAATGACTCGAATTGGTACCAAATGTTATAAAATTTGAACTTTTGATGACAGCGTTGGGAAGGGTTTTAGGTCGGGTCGGGTTCTTTTGGTATTGTGTGGCTTAGGATATTGATGAAATGAAAAGAAATCCATTTTCTGCTTCTGATAATGGCGATGGTACAAGGAAAATTGTGTGCCAAAACCATTCGTTGTGCAATGTTTTGGTGGTTTTGATTTGTATTACATTGGCAATCGTCTTTGAGTATAGGGGTGATGAAGAAGAAGCATTTATTAACGTATTGGCTGATCCATCAAACGGGGAGATCAACGAAAATCTGGTGAAGGAAATTGCTCATTTGCTTATGTGATTTGCTTCTTGTTGACTGATGTTCATTGCCTGGAATTGTTTACTTGCAGGTGGCTTTGTTATGGGTAGAATGCAGGCAAGATTTGAATAGTTTATTAGAACCCAAGTTACGGCGTCTGCAGGAAATACTCTCCGATGTTATCCGCGCGGTGGGTTATTCATCGGCCGAAGAGAACATTCGGAACATGGCTCGCCATCCGGCGATAAAACAAGCTCTTTCTAACTGCATCAGAAAGAACGATTTTATGTTCCGAGAATCCATTAAAGATGGTGGCTTTAATCCTTGGTACACCAGGTATGTCAATTCATTAAATCGCCGGCGTGATGTTCCTAGAAGAATTTTAGCCCCAAAGAACACTGCTGCAGCCCCTGGTTTGGTCTCGAGTCCATCGCCTTCCCCATCATCAACGTCACCCGGTTCGGCTCCAGCCTCTTCCCCTGATTCCAAAGCTCCTGATTTTAGTCCAGCTCCAAGTCCAACACCGAGTCCATCGCCATTGAGAAGTCCGGCATCTTCACCCGCTCCCCCACTTCCTAAACCTTCTAACTCACCACCTCCGGTACATGATGGCCACCATGGAGATGAATATACAGGAATTAAGAAGATAACACTTGTTATTGCTTGTATTGTGACTGCGGTAGTAACAGCTTCTGTCTCGATGTTGTTCTTCTTTTTGTGCTTTCGTAAGCAAACTATCCGGAGACCGATCTCCGGTGGTGGTATATATACTTTTCCGCACTCTGTTGAAGTTTTTTTGATGAATTCTACCTGAATTTCTTTTTGTATGTTCTTCTCATGCATATGCTTTTATGTCTAATGCAGGAACGAATCATGATTACCAATCATTAGGTAATGAATCAAGCCCAAAAAAGAAGGCTTCAACCAATGCCGGTATTGCTCTCAAAATCTCCACGGATGGGAAGTCATCACTTGGAGCTGCTCCTGGTGCTGGGGCCGGAGCCGCTGTCGCCAAAGCCTCTACTGAATCCTCTAATACATCAGGCAACGCTAATTCGAACCAACCTTTGGGAGACGCAAGTACTTCCGTGCCTGGAGTAGCTCCGGAGAATGCTCCTCCCAGCGGACCCAAACCTCCTAATCCAGTTAAGGCTAATCCTCCTGCACCTTCTGCCTGGACCTCCGCCACCACCTAAACTTCTTGGAGCTGGTCCTCCTAGGCCACCTCCACCAATGCCCCCAGGTTCCAAGGGACCTAAACCACCAAATGCACCACAACATACACCAAATGCACCATCTGGGGAAGGATCAGGGAATACAGCCAATGCTTCTAAAGCCAAACTGAAGCCATTTTTCTGGGATAAAGTTGCAGCCAAGCCGGACCATGCAATGGTGTGGAATCAGATCAAAGCTGGATCGTTCCAGTACGTATTTGATTCTATACTTGTTTTTTTTTTCGTCTTAATTTTATTGCCACACATCAGTATGGGATTCTCGATGCTGCCTTTTCAGGTTCAATGAGGATCTGATTGAAACTCTTTTCGGATATTCGGCCGCCGATAAGAAAAAGAACAACGATAAGAAAGAGCCATCTCTGAAGGACCCTGCCCCTCAGTTTGTTCAACTAATTGACCCCAAGAAGGCACAAAATCTAGCAATCCTTTTGCGGGCGTTGAATGTGACTGCCGAAGATGTATGCGCCGCACTTTGGGAAGGTGATTTCCTCCATCTTATTTATCCTATAGAATATGTGCTCCCTGTTGAACTCTGTTCTTTCGACATCAGGAAACGACCTCCCTGTTGAACTCCTTCAGACGTTATTGAAGATGGCACCGACATCAGACGAAGAACACAAAATTAAAACGTGCACCAGTGAAATTTCTAGACTCGGTCCGTCCGAGCAATTCCTAAAACGAATGCTTGGAATCCCGTTTGCTTTTAAACGAATCCAAGTGATGCTTTTCATGTGTTCTATTCATGAAGAGGCTGCTGTCACTAAAGTGTCCTTCGAAACATTAGAGGTTGGTCATTAGCTTTTAAATTGCAAGACTTGCATGATTCATACAATTTGTCTTACTTGGATGCCTTTTGGCAGGTTGCTTGCAAGGATCTACAAGGCAGCCGTCTATTCCTCAAGCTCTTAGAAGCAGTTCTTAAAACCGGAAATCGCATGAACGATGGAACATTCCGTGGTGGTGCAAAAGCTATCAAACTCGACACTCTTTTGAAGTTATCGGATGTTAAAGGAGTAGACGGCAAGACCACGCTATTGCATTTCGTCGTCCAAGAAATAATGCGTTCTCCGCGCCGAAAGAGAGAGCGGAAGTTTTACCAGCATGAAATCCGATGATCTCCTTGACGATGTTTCCCCTGATATGGAAGAGCGCTACCACATCCTGGGGTTTCAGGCAGTTTCACGTCTGAGCACTGAACTCGAAAGTGTCAAGAACGCGGCGGCTGTCGATGCGGAGAACTTAACAGGAACCGTTGCCAGACTCAGCCATTCACTGCTAAAAGCACGCGATTTCTTGAACTCGGAGATGAAAAGTTTGGAGGAAGACAGTGGCTTTCACAAAAGATTAAAGAGTTTCGTGGAGAAGTACGAGGTCAAGATCACGTCACTGCTCGAGGAAGAGAAGAGAATAATGGAGTTAGTGAAGAACACTGGCAGTTATTTCCATGGTGCCAATAAGAAGGACGAGGGACTACGCCTGTTTGTGATCGTACGTGACTTCTTGATAATTTTGGATAAGGTGTGCAAAGAGGTTAAAGACAAGCCGGTAAAGTCACACAAGCAGGGGTCGCACTCATCATCTTCCTCTCGTACCGATGCAACTGATCTACGACAGAAGCTTTTTCCAGCAATCGCCGAGCTAAGGGTGGATAGTTCTACTTCGGACGATGACGATTAATAGTGTTCGATTGAGTACCGAAACGGGATAAAATGAAGGGATCTGCTCTTCAATGCTAGATTTCTGCAGAGCCGACATCACGAACATGTGGTTAAACAACGCCCTTTGGTATTGTTTTTGTGGTTCTAATTGGTTTCCCTCAACGTATGCATTTATAGTTAGAGTTAGATATAAGGATGTCTTCATCTTTTACCTTTCACCGTTGTTAATAAATTCTCAGTTCATAATATTGGGTTGGCTGCATTCAAATTGTTGACATTTTATGGTTAAATGAAATTGGTTCGGGTATAAGGTACATATGATAGAATCATGATATTCATCTTATCATTTACGCATAGACAGTCATGTCAATATCATGGATAATCACATAAACATTATAAGCAAGGACGAAGCCAATATACCAATTAAAGGAAACAAAATATAATTAATTATAGAAAATGGGAGCAAAATCAATACGACATATGTCACTTAACGAGTTTTTTTAATGACCATTATGACTAAAGTACCCAAAGTGATAATGTTTATAATGTTAGACACCTGAATTGATCAAAAAAATCTGACGTCACCGGGAAAAAAAGTATAATTTAGGTAAAAAAAATTATATTAAGCCTTAGGGGCTGTTTGTTTATTTCAGAATGATTAAGCGCTTAATGATTCAAATGCTGAATGATTCATAGACTCTGTATGAATTAGCTCTGAATGTGACATGTTGTTTGATAATGGCTCTGAATCATTCAGAATGTACTTTGATGCTGAATCATTCAGCACTGTTTTGCTGAATCAGTCAGCACTGAATCATTCAGGGGTGAGAAAGAAACACACTGAATGTTGAACGGTTCAACATTCAACGCTAAATGATTCCATTCAGAGCCAAACAAACCGCCCCTTAATCTTTTGATTCTTGGATTCAAGTCCAATAAGCCTAATGATTAGGCTCAATGACCCACAAATATCTTATTTTAGAGTGGACGATTTAAATCAATAAATAATTATTTGTTTGAATCAATAATGATAAACTTACATTGCTTCATTCATTAAGAATCAATATTTTTTAATAAACTTATTATTACCATTTACAGTAGGAAAAATTCATGAATCATTAAAAGTTATATGAATAAATTCAACTATCGTAATATTGGTAATAAATTAAAAATTCGAGTCTCCATCTTTCATCTTATTTAATTTTTAATATGTTATAAATTCATCAAGTGATTTTAATGATAAAATAAAAAAAATATTTTCCTTAAAAGTCATGAGTTAGAACGATTGTATTTAAAGGTCATGAGTTAAAGTAATTGTATTTATACGGTATAGGTATATTATCGATAAGTTAAAAAAGATGAACAAATATTACTTTGGTCATCCAAACTATCAAAAAGAACTATTAATATGCCATAAATCATCACACCTAATTTCTTAATTTTATTTCCAAACTATCAAAAAGAATTATTAATATGCCATAAGTCTTCACACCTAATTTCTTAATTTTTTTTCTGCATTTAATCCAGAAATTCACGAAAATGATACATAATCTTGATTGTAACACTTTAAATTTAATTAAAAAATCAAATTGAAAATGATACATTAATTAATCAAAACTTAATTTGAGTTAAATTATAAATATCATTATCACCGACCTAAGAAACAAAAAAAATTCAACTAACATGATTGGTTTAAGTGGTAAGTAATTTGATTATGTTTAAGTAGGTTTTGAGTTCGAATTTTTATGAATATAGAAAATCCCAGTTGGAAACTCACCCACCAAAACTAAATGTGCGACACGGTAGGGGCAAAACTAGGAATTTCATAATTCGGTGTCATAATTTTAAATTATGATATGTAAATAAAGTCATATAAATTAATACATAAAATTAAAATTCGATAAATTAATGTAAAATATAGCTAAATTAACATAAGATTATTACAAAGCTATCAAAACAATAATCAAAAGAAAATATACATACGCAATAGAGGTTTTCATTTTTTTGATTTTAATAGAATTTATCGATCGAACTGAAATAAGTCGGTTAAAACAACGGACCACTAAATTAGTTCGGTCGGGGAACAATGATTTTTTTTATATTTAATGGTTAATTCTATTTGAAATTTGATAATTAACTAAATTAATTGAATTAGTCAAAAATATTAAATATCATATATATTATTTATATTAAATACACATTTTAAGCTCAAATCTATAAAGAATTAAGACCCAATTATTTTTTAATCACTCTAGATCCATTAAATTATCAAGATCTAATTAAATTTTGACCCAAATAAAATATATATATATTAAATTTAAATTGATCTAATTAAAAATATATTGAAAATTTTGATTAATTAGGTCTTTGATCGAATTAATCGAACTTTATTCAATTTGATTCGGTTAGCGGTTAAAGAAAAAATCTATTACTTAGAATTAATAAAAAATTAATTCAATTAGTGATTAAATTAAACAAATGAACACCTCTAATACATTCGGTGTCAAAACTTTTTTAAAATGGATGTCATTTTCTTAATTATATGTATAAGTAAAATTGAAAATGTTTGGGGGGTGTCAATTGACATCACTTAGTGGCTTCTGTTCCATCGATATGATTTGGGTCGATTCGAATTAATCAAAATTAAATCTTAGAATCCGAAGATCAACTAAAAAAATTGTAACAAATATAGCATGATTGAAACGTACAAACAAAATAATCTCATAACGATTATTACATATTACCTAAAAATAGGCAAGCCATGAGCATCGAACAAGTAAATCTTTGACTTGCTCTACCCTTGGTTTCCTTTACCAAATAATATTGATTTTAAAACTTTAAAACTAATTATAAAGGGTAAATTATACCCTTTTTCACTGATTGCTTCATCTTCTATTTTATCCACCATATTTTCAATTTTTTCTATTTTGTTCACAGAATTTTATAGATGGAATCATTTTGCTCACTCTGTCGTTAACTCTCTAACGGTGTGATGATGTGTAATTTTTTCTTATTATTTATTACAAATTAATTGAAAATATAGACTGTAAATTACACGGTTCCTCACCGAACTTTCCTCTCTCTCATATTTTGCTCACCCAACTATAAAATAAAAACAGAAGGTGTCCAGATGCCACCACCGGCCACTATCGATCGCCGTAGATGGTGGTTGTTCGGTCTTAAATTTAATGGGTCGCTTTGCCTTGACACATTGAGTTCGAATCCAACCTCTATTTTGTTGAAACTTGCTCCAAAGTCCACAAATTGAAGATTACAAGTGAGGGAGCCAAAACATTTGAATCGAGATTCATGGATTTTGGGACATTTTCAGGTGAAACAAGTCAAACAACCACCAAATTTGGACTCAAGGGGTTGAGATGAACTGACCCATGAATTTTGAGACCGAATGACCATCACCAACGATGGTAGACGATGGCAAAAATGAAAAATGACGTGGTGGCTTGTGGCGGCAACCTATTACCTTATTTGCAAAGTAGAGAAAAATTGGGTGGAGAATAGGGTTCGAAACAATCTTATTTTAGTGTATATTTGAGTTTTTCAAAACGACATTATTTTGATACTTCTTTCATGTCATAACACCGTTAAAAAACTAACGGCAAAGTGAGCTAAATTATTTAATCTGTAAAATTCAGTGATGAAAATAAAAAATTTAAAAGTACATCGAATAAAATATGAGAGAGTAAAATTCCATTCAGCCTAGCTAAAATAGATTCCTTCAAGCTTCAAAACCCCATCAAAATTCCGCCAGATCTCAACGGTAATAAAAGTCCAAAACGCGGCTCTTATTTAATCATTTCATCCATTAAACAAAAAAGAGTTGAAAATTCCAAAAAAAAAAAACAAAAATAAATTATATAAACTTTCATACTAATCCTTTTTAAATTATATTTCTTTTTCTGTAGATTAATGTAAAGATTCTTTTTTGAGGGAATTCATGAGTGTCCTTTGTTTGATTCATCATCACCGTCATCATCATCTTCCTGGCAGTAAAAGCAGCGGCCTTGATATTGGTGGCTTTGAATGCAATTCACGGTCCCGTCTAGATCCTACGATTTTACTACTACCAACATCCCATACCCTTCTCTTTTATGTTTCTCTTTCTTCCAAAATGGCTTCAATGAATCATAACAAAACCCATTTCCCATATAACACCAGCCCCTCAACTACCACGGCCCCAAGCCCTTCAAAAGTAAGTTTTTCTTTCCTTTTTATAAAGTTGTTCTTGTTTCACTTTCTTAGGTAAATATTCAATGTCTTCATGCTATTTCTGTTTCTGGGTATCTTTTGTTTTTCATTTTGGACTAAAAAAATGTTCTAAACTGTTTCTGGGGTTCTTTTTAGAAGTTTTTTCTTTTTCATTTTGATATGTCCAAGTGCTTGTTTATGGTGGAAGACTTATTCCCCCCTCAATTTTCTTGGTAAAGATTCAATCTTCATAATCTTCTTGTTTATGTGTATCTTTTATTTTTCGTTTTGGGGCTTTTTTATTGGATTTCTAGAAGAAAAACATTGCTGATGAAGTGAGTGGAGAAAAGGGACAGAAGCTTGAATTTGAAAAAATGGTTGGCAGTGCAAGTAATGGTAGGCTTCGGCTAGCTTTTTCACTTGTAAATGGCTCCCAAGATCTAAGCCTCACGCCGGCGAGTACTGCCGGTTCCGAATGCGGTGCGGTTGAGTTCACTAGAGAAGATGTGGAGGCATTAGTGAGTGAGAGAATGAAATCCAAGAACAAATTTAACTATAAGGTGAGTGTCCCTGTGTTGCATTTATGGGTTTTCGGTTTGAGATAGTTTTGGATTTTATTCGATTGTTTGGGTTTTTCAGGAGAGATGTGAAAACATGATGGATTATATAAAGAGGCTTAGGCTTTGCATTAGATGGTTCCACGAACTTGAAGGAGAGTTTGCATTTGAACAAGAGAAATTAAGGTGTGCTTTGGAATTGACTGAAAGGAGATGCCATGAAATGGGTATTAAATCTTGTATTCACTTTGATTTATGTTAAATCGTATCAATTATTTACATTTGATGTAAATTACTCTACTTTGTTGTAGAGGTGGCTCTTAAAAACAAGGATGAAGAACTGAATTTGGTAATTTTGGAGCTTAGAAAAAGCTTAGGTTCCTTACAAGAGAGCCTCGTGAAAGAAGAATCCGAGAAGAAGGTAAAAACCGCCTGTTTCATTTGTAGACTTTCGTTTTTGCTTTTTTGTGTTCGAGATGTGATTAATGATTTCGAATGTAACAATCAGGCTGCAACGAATTCTCTTTTGAAAGAAAAAGAAGCTTTTATTAGTATTGAAAGATCAAAGGCTTCTCTCTCAGAAGAGCTTGATAAAGCTCAAGCTGAGCTCGATGGTGCCAATCAAAGGGTAAAGATAACGAAAATTTGATCTTATTCAAAGTCCTTTGTGCCTCGGGTTTTTCTATTGTTGTATTTACATTATAAGTTTACTTTCGTTAACCTATTCTTATGAGATTCTTGAACCCTGCAGATAGCATCAATAAATGATATGTACAAGCTACTACAAGAATACAACTCGAGTTTACAGTTATATAACAGCAAACTCCAGACGGATCTCGGTGAAGCTCATGAAACCATTAAGCGCGGGGAGAAAGAGAGATTGAACATTGTGGAAAATCTTCATACCTTAAGGGGTCAACATAAATCATTGCAAGATCAACTCACTTCATCTATGGTGCGTTTACATGATTAAAAAAGCCATTTCTTATTGCATATGTTTTATCATATGTAGTAATCTAGGCTTTCAATGGCATGTTAAGCACAATGCTTGATTATTAGTTGTCGCCTTGTCGGAGTTTATATATATGCAAGGTTTCCCAAGAAATAGGACACCATATTGTAAAAGAAATTCCTCAACTTTTTGATATTTATATATTACTTAATTTCTTAAAGAAGTTTTTAAAAATTTTGGGTTAGGCTTCCCAAGAAGGGGCTATGAAGCAAAAAGATGCTTTGCTAAATGAAGTCACGTGTCTTAGAATGGAGCTACTCAAGATTAAAGATGACCGGGACCAATATCAACGAGAAGCACAAAATCTAGCCATTGAAGTATCAAAATACAAAGAGTTGGCAACCAACTCAAGTGAATTAGAGGTTCGTTTTTGCTTTCTGATTTCTTTTTATTTCCCATTAAGTGCAAAGAATTGAATGTATTCTTATATGTTTCGAATCTTTTACAGGTGAAATGCTTGTCTCAAGGTAATCAAATACAAATTCTGCATGATCAATTAGCGGTTGCAGAGAGGAAATTACAGGTTATTTCATATTCTTTTCTTGAGAAGAACTATGTATTCATTACTATTAGTTTACTTCCTATTATAATCATGCTTCTTTTTTGACTTAGATGTCTGATATGTCTGCACTCGAGACAAAAATTGAGTTTGAAGGGCAAAAGAAACTCATAAACGAGTTACATAAATGCTTAGAAGATGCAGAATTTAAGCTTGTAGAAGGGGAGAAACTGCGGAAGAAGTTGCATAATACTATATTGGTAATGTTCTAAACTATGTCTTATGTTAACATTGCTGCAAATATGTTATCCCAATGGGTTGCATTTTCTATTGCAGGAATTGAAGGGGAATATCCGTGTATTTTGTAGAGTGCGGCCTCATTTATCTGATGATAGTTCGAGTAACCATGGGAAGGTTTTCTCTTATCCAACACTAACGGAATGCCTTGGACGCAACATTGACATGACACAAAATGGTGATGAACCAATATATTTAAAAGATAAAAATCTTTCATCTGATTTCATTACATAAGAATATATCGTTTCCGAAGTTTGAAATCCCATTTGATATTCTTCTATTTATCAGGGCAGAAGCATTCTTTCATTTTTGATAAAGTATTTATGCCCAATGCATCACAAGAGGAAGTTTTTATCGAAATCTCACAACTTGTCCAAAGTGCTCTTGATGGTTATAAGGTTACATACATACGTGCATATCACGAGAAGGTTGCAAGGATTTTCTTCTATCAGTACTTCATGCAATGGTTTATGCTTCTACAGGTTTGCATTTTTGCTTATGGGCAAACTGGCTCAGGTAAAACCTACACTATGATGGGCAAACCCGGACAGCCGGATGAAAAAGGATTAATACCCCGGTCGTTGGAACAAATATTTCAAACTACGCAAGCTCTTCGACGTCAAGGCTGGAGATACGAAATGCAGGTATGCAGTACTTTCTTTTTCCTCCTTAGTTTGTTTTCTATACTTTTGTGATATATTTGTTATCTCTTTTAGATATTAATTAGTGAACTTTTTCTTTGGTAATTGTTCATAGGTCTCAATGTTAGAAATATACAAGGAAACAATCCGTGATTTGCTATCAATAAACCGGGATTCCTCTCGAACCGAAAACGGTGTTGTTGGAAAGCAATATATGATTAAACATGACACAAACGGAAACACACAAGTCTCGGATCTTACTATTGTGGATGTTCGAAGTAGTAGGGAGGTCTCGTTTCTTTTAGAACAAGCTTCTCATAGCAGGTAAACCCTTTAGTGTATGCATATTATTGTCATCATCCAGCGTCAGTTTTGTTGAAAATTTCAGATAAGAAATATTAGAATTCGGTTCTACGATAGAGAATCGTGGACTAATGAAGTTTGTGTTTGTCTCATTCAGATCAGTGGGGAAAACTCAAATGAATGAACAATCATCGAGAAGTCATTTTGTTTTCACGATGCGAATAACCGGTGTTAACGAGGTAGGAGTTGATTTTTACTAGAATCTGCATTAATATAAAGCTATACCAGTCTCAATCTTTTCTTCCATGAACTATTGCAGTGTATTGTATATTTGACCATATCTGCATCATATTTCTGATACTCAACAGAGCACTGAACAACAAGTACAAGGTGTCTTGAATCTAATTGATCTCGCTGGAAGCGAGCGTCTTTCGAAAAGTGGTTCAACCGGAGACCGGTTAAAAGAGACTCAAGTATTTTTAACAATAATTATTATTTATTTCAGTATATGTTTTCATTTCCGGTTTTTGAGTTTTTCTATTATTCGGTTTTCATCCAGGCCATTAATAAAAGTCTATCGTCTTTAGCCGATGTTATATTCGCATTGGCAAAGAAGGAAGATCATGTACCATTTAGGAACTCAAAGCTCACTTATCTTCTTCAGGTAAGTCTCTCAACACTTGCAGTCGCACCGGATTACCAGTCTTAAGCATCTAATCTTCTTTCTTATTCCATGGTTAACCAGCCCTGTCTAGGTGGGGATTCGAAGACTCTGATGTTTGTAAATCTCTCCCCCGAATCCTCTTCAGCCGGTGAATCCCTGTGCTCTCTGCGTTTTGCAGCGAGGGTCAATGCTTGTGAGATAGGGACTCCCCGACGTCAACTCAACATCCGGACTTCGGATTCTCGATTGAGCTATGGTTGATCTCGTGTACGGGTTTCACCTTTGTTTAGCCATCTGTATCGATATTGTATTAGTAGATTGAGAAATGAGAGTGATTGTTAACACGTAATCATCTGTATAGTAGCCATTGCTGCTGTATTTTTAGCATGCAGTCCCTTCACTTACTACATTTATACTACTTATATGCTGAGCTGATTTCTTCAACATTTTTATTTATGCAATATTATTTTCTCAATATTTGTTTAATTATTTTAAAATTTAATATTAAAACCAACATTATTTTAAATATCAAAATAATTATATTAAAACAACGTCATTTTAATGTGTTAGATCAACAATCATTGATTATATGACGAAATAAAATAATTGAATATAAATCATTGATTATACGATGAAATACAATAATTGAATATAAAATTAAAATTTAAATACGTACATGTAAGAGTTTAATAATATAAACAAGTCGACAAACGTGATTAATTGATATTTGAGATAATCTTCCCTTTGAACATCACTGTCCCCAGGAACAGCAGAAGACCATTTTTATCGTTTTCAGTTCAGTTCCGTTTTAGTTCGTGTCCGATATCAAACCCCTTTCCAATCTTCAATCAAACGGACAATGTCTCCACTTCATCTATGCTCAATAAAGCACCATCCTTCACCGATAAAAACACTTGCTTTTCTCTTCTCTCCGCTTCTTTCCTTGCTCGCATTCATTCAATCCCAGAGAGTACAGGTGAAATCTTTCACTTCTAATTATTTCTCGAATGGGTTTTCACTTTTGTTACTGTTTTCGGTGTTGCATGTCGATGAAACGCAGTTTCCAGATTAGATTCATCGTGGGTTCATATAAAGCTGTTAAATCGATGCCTTTTCATTTTGTGGAATTTCTGGAAGAAAATGAAAATTCTGAAGTTTAGTTTATCTGTTGTGATGTAGTTTTAAACCAGTTTAACTGTGGGAATTGGCGAATTTTTTGTGTTAGTTTGGTCTTTACTTTTTTACATTTTTATCTGATATAAGAAATTTATAACATTCGAAGTTCATGGGAATTTTGAATAGAAATTTTAGATTTTGACGATTTGCATAAGATTTTTAGATAGAAAAATGGATATGGAGAATGATTTTCTTCTTCTTTAGTTATCTATATGATTTTCTGATCAACCGCATTTAAGATGAAAGTTTAAAATCTGATACCATTACTATGTTTTGCCGACTTTTCATTCTTCTTGAAGAGTCCTTGTCCGACATATCCGGGCATAAGTCGGGGATATGACATTCAAAATACATTGAAAAAAAAAATATTCGTTTGGGACACATATCGGTATCCGACACTCACTCTCAAGCCCAAATTACATAGTGTGCCAATGCCAAAATTTATATGAGGTTCACCAATGAAGAATGTGCTAGCTCAGACTAAGAAAGTGATTATCGTACTGCTTTGTTAATGCAAAAAGAACGACTAAGAAGATTGTGTCAATATATTTCTGTTTCGGGCTAGTCTAGATTTAGAAAGGAAGTAATTTTGCATATTTATTACTAGAAGCATATTTGGCAATAAAAAGGGACCGGTTCGTATTATGAAAATTGACTAGGTAGTACCTCTGATCTTGCATGATAGGTAATACCAGCTGCATATATTTTCTGGTAGAACATAACCGATGAAATGTGATTTAGCCTTAAGCCTTCGTAGCTTGTTGTTCATAATAATGCAGATAATGGCATGCATAAGTAGTTAAGACTGCTTGATACTGTTACTTATTTCTAATATATATTGGTCTGGAGCTATGATTCAAACACTATCCTCAACCTCAGTGAGGAAGCTGGCTTGAGACCAAACAAAAATCGAAAAAGGGTTTGCTTTAAACAATCGTTGTTTATTCGAAAAATATTCTTAAAAAAGCAATAAAAGAGAGATAATGAAGTTTGGGACACACTATTTGCATTTTGCGGTATTGTTCTCGGTTCGTTTCATAGTGTGCAAGAGTTATGCCTGTATTATTTTCAAATAATTTTTCGTATTCCGAAATGGAGACCGTTTCTCTGTTTTTTCATTTGTCTCTCTACGAATTAAGCATGGCTTTGAAGAGACTCATTGACTCGTAAACTTGTCTATTAGATCGATTTCTATTTTCGACACGATTGTGTTCATTTTCAACTCTCTGAACATGGAGATGATGGCTGACCGTGGAAATTGTTGAAAACAATCGGGGGTATGGAATTTTTGGACTTCAATTTTTGGTTATATGAATGTACCTTGATTTAGATGATTATGACATGTAGGAAGGTCGTCAGTTATATCCTCCTCGTGGATGCTTCCAAAACTTTCATGTGGATTGAGTTGTCATTTGCCAACAATGACATATTTGGTTGTCAGTTTCTAGCAGTGGAAAAAGGTAAAAAATTTACATTTTTACAGATTATAATGCAGCAAAGTTTGATAGAAAATTTACCATTTTAGCATTCGTTTTTTCCTCTCGTGGTTCTTTGATGTCTATTCCAGTGCATGCGTCCCACTTGTCGTAATGCATGAACTCCTATATTGGCACTTTGAAGGGGAATCTGTCAATAGACGAGCGTTATAAGTTCTGGAGTTATCTCTGTACCTCGATATCAGAAGCATTTTCTAGTCTCTTTTTCTCAACAGCAACCAGAGGCACCAATCGTAATCTGTGAGCTCCGAACCCCTTCTACTGTTTTCTTAATATTTGATCATTCATTTGTAAATCTATGCATGTGATATCCTTAGAATATATCTCTTTAGGGTGAGCGATGAAAGATTGCAGATTGCAAACTTTTCGTCCTGTAAAAGATCTAACATTCAGATCTTCCTCAATTTGATTCGTTTTAATTGAAAATTGCCCGACTGATGTGGATTCTTAATTAGAAATTTGATTTGTGGCTAACTTTACCCCTTTGTTGCAGTCATCGGGATCTTGGTTATTTAAATCGAGGCTAATAATATTGTTCTCTTTGTTGGTCACAATTTTCTCTAAAGATTGCTGCATGTTTATAACCAAAAATTCGAAATTATATTTGAAGAAAACTGAAATACAGGTGATTTTATTTGCAGGACACAAAATAGGCACGAAATCGTCGAGGAGCAATGTTGTGGTAAGTGTGTTATTTTCCTCCTGCTTTTTTCTCGAGTATTTTTATTGTTCGCTTTCTTCCATCTTTGCTTTCTAGATATCATTTTGGTTGCTTTGTTAGATTCCAGGTTCTTTCTTTTCCCATATTACTTTTAACTGTTTCATGCTGATGCATCGATTATGTTGTTATAGTGTCTAGTCGATGCATGTGTTGGAGTAATGAGATTGAATCCAAGATTCTGAATGTGACAGTGATGTGTTCATTGTGTAACTTAATCCACTCAAACAAAGGAAAAAACGCTGTTTTTTAGTTCAATCTCCGGAAATTGTGTCTGTAGTGCACCGGACAGTTGAGTCCTGAACAGAATGACAACGATAGTCATCGAATAGTAAACGAAATTTCAATACGTTGAGCATGCAAGTTTTTCTCTGTCTGTTTCCCCATTTTTTTCATGATGATTTTTTGTTGTGTCGGAAAATAGTACGTTTTGATATCTTTCCAGAGGTGAATGTGTCCATTATAATGTCTGAATATTATGTATCATTAATCTCGGTATTTGTTAACTACTGATATCTGCTGCATGTATAGTTTTCTCATTGGATGAAGGAGGTGAAAAAAACTAGAAATGGATGAAACCGGCGGTGAATGTGTTTATCGTGATAAGTGGTACGAAGTAGAGTGTGCAGAAAACGTGCTTGTCAATATACTCTCGAGGCTTCCGATTAAGTCAATTTTAGTATGCAAATCCATTTGCAAGCATTGGCACCGGTTGTTAAGTAGTCGGGCTTTCATTGACGAGCAGCTACTCTGGTCCCAGCAAAACTCGATTTACATTGTTTATCCGTTCATGGATGTGCTGATGGAATTATTTTTTGTGGATATCAACGGTGACATTGTTAAGAGGCTGAGCTTCCCGTATTGTGAGAACTTTTCTCCAATTACAATCATTTGTTCCTTTGATGGTTTACTCTGCTGTATAAACTATCCATGGAAAGCGAACTCGGGAAGGGTAGTTGATGATGAAATCGATCTGGAAATCCGTATCTGCAACCCTGTTACAAAAAAGGCTCTATTAATTCCGAAAGGTAGCCCATCCAATGAAAAGCCTTCCATCGGGGTTGCTTTTGGTCCAAAAATCAATGAATACAAGATATTTCGGTTTTTCTCTTCCAAGCGCATATCCCTAGCTAAACATCCCTCCCGTGTTAACCGTCGACAATGTGAGGTATATTCATCGAGCACTGGATCCTGGAGTGTCATAGGTCGTGTACCATACCGCCCGATGCATTCTAGCCATAGCCCCCTGGGGTCCAACCATGTTTTCGTCAATGGAAATATATATTGGTTTATTGCTTTGGATGAAGATCCGTTAATTCCGGGCTCGATCCTTACGGTTGACACAGAGGAAACCTTTGGAACTATTAACCTTCCAGGAGATGTCACAGAGCACTCATACTTGGTTAATCTCAAAGGCTGTTTATCCTTAGTTTCTGTACATGATGAGGATGAAATCATGAATATATGGATTCTCGACGACAAGAACGAGCCTAAATGGGAACTGAAAAGCAGAGATATCGTCCCCTTCTCGAATGATGAATGTGTCGAATTTGTAGTTGCAAGGGAGAATGACCTTTTTGTCATAACTTCAAGCCAGTACTATATCTATAATTCGGACCACAGGTTTTGGAGGGAGCTTTATTTACCAAGGATGTTCGAAACGAATTTTCCTGTCGCTTTCACATACGCCGAAAGCCTTCTTTCTTGTAAGTCGTTAGTTTTACTGATTAGATCTGTATGTGATATACGATATAAACAGTGTAGCTGCTTCTTTTGCAGGTGGTGGACGGATCGATCCTAGGATCGAATACATATCCGAAAGAAGCATATGATATGCTCTAGACTCGCTCTTCGTTGATCATAATAAGCTCCTCTTGCTGTATATCTGCCGTCCTCATTTGCTTTTGTACATGTTTTGTTAGGCATCCATCTTGAACTCTGAATCTAAATTGTCGTCGTTTATTAATTGCAGACCAAAGCTTCCGAGGATTGGGATATTGATCGCCTTCTTCATCATGCCATGAAATCCTTCTTGGGGACCGATAATGTTTACCTTCTTTATCTTTCGTTTTCGCAATGTTGTAAGGTTGTTTGTGCATCTGCCGTATGCAGATGACTTATTCCGACAAATCGACTTTGTCGAAGAAAACCGATGTTTATTTCACAGGTGTGATGTTATAGTTTTTGTTAAGCGTCAAGTTTCGAATTCTGAACGTGAAACAATTTTCTGTGTATTAAGTTTAGTAAAGAAATTAAAATGTTTTAAATTTTAGTGAACAAAATAGGAGAGAGTAAAATTTAAAGATAAAATTTATAATTTACCCTTATATTAAATACACCAATATTAATACATCTGAACTGTCAAATCAATATTATTATAAATTTCTACGTCAGCATTATGGATTATAATATTAACGTAATGAATTAACAATAAATGTCAACATTTTTACTCTTTACGTTAGCATATTAAGAATAAATGTTATATTTTCCGGTTAAAAAGAATTTTTTTTATAATTTACTAATTCAAAAATCTAATTAAATACGTTTTTTCACAAAAAAAAAAGAAATTAAATTAATTATTTGATACCAGTTCATGGATTAAAATACCCATTAAGCCAAAAAAAAAACGGCAGCGTTTTCAACCAAACTTTAACTACGTGGCTTTATATTAACCGGTACTGTTTTTAGCAAACTTTTTCTTAATTAAGTCGTCAACCTCACCCTATAAATAAATCAGCAAATTCCCCCAATTCCGCATTAGAATTGTAGATTTCGCCATTGGCTTCTCTTTTGATCTCGTCTCTCCCGTTCCAAATCTCTCTTAGAAGGTAATCTTTCATTATTGTTCATTCCTTTCTCTTTCGTAATTTTTGTTAGGTGTATTTAGGGTTAGGCTTTACCGTTTTATTCAATTCGGTAAATATAATGGCATCTGTTCGTAAAGACGTCGTCTTTCTTTTTCCGATTCAATATCAGGTATTTTCTTTGTCTTGGCCGTTTAATTGATTGCCGAATTCAATTGTTAATCTAGGGTTTGATGGGTTATTTCTGATCTAGCTTAAGGGTTAGGGTTCTTTTTTTATTTAGTGTATTTGTTTATTAGGCCTTCATAGTTGGGTAAACTGGCCTAAATTGAAGGTTAATTTTATGCTATTTAATTTTTGTTTATAGTGTTAGTCAATAATATATGTATGATCCACCTTGATTGATCATAAATGTTCTTTGTGTTCTAGCTTTTGATAATAGTTTTGAGCTATATGGCTACCAAAAATAAATCATCTTTGTTTAATTAGAATCTCTGTAATAGTTGTTGGCTTCTCTTGGAAGCAAAAATTTATATATATTTTTTAGTGTTTTAAGTTATAAATTAGTAATATGTTTCTTGTTGAAAGCTGATGCAGATCTTTGTGAAAACTCTTACTGGTAAGACCATCACCCTCGAGGTAGAAAGATCAGATACAATTGATAATGTCAAGGCCAATATCCAAGACAAAGAAGGGATCCCTCCAGACCAACAAAGGCTTATCTTTGCCGGTAAACAGCTAGAGGATGGCAGAACTCTTGCTGACTACAATATCCATAAAGAGTCCACCCTGCACCTTGTCCTTCGCCTCAGGGGTGGTATGCAGATTTTCGTGAAAACCCTTACTGGCAAGACCATAACCTTAGAGGTGGAAAGCTCTGATATGATCGATAATGTCAAGGCCAAGATCAAAGACAAGGAGGGTATTCCACCAGATCAGCAGAAAAGGCAAGGAGGGTATTCCACCAGATCAGCAGAGGTTAATTTTTTCTGGGAAGCAGCTCGAAGATGGTCGGACCCTTGCTGATCAAAACATTCAAAAGGAGTCTACCCTCCACTTGGTGCTACATCTCCGTGGAGGCATGCAAATTTTTGTGAAAACCCTTACTGGCAAGACCATAACTCTTGTGGTGGAAAGCTCTGATACGATAGATAATGTCAAGGCCAAGATCCAAGACAAAGAAGGGATCCCTCCAGACCAACAGAGGCTCATCTTTGCCGGTAAACAGCTCGAGGATGGCCGAAGCCTTGCTGATTACAACATCCAGAAAGAGTCCGCCTTCCACCTTGTCCTTCGTCTGAGGGGTGGTATGCAGATATTTGTGAAAACCCTTACTGGAAAGGCCATAACCTTAGAGGTCGAGAGTTCCGATACAATTGATAATGTCAAGGCCAAGATCCAAGACAAGGAGGGGTTCCACCAGACCAGCAGAGGTTAATTTTTGCCAGGAAACAGCTTGAGGATGGTCTAACCCTTGCAGACTACAACATTCAAAAGGAGTCTTGGAATTCAAAAGTAACTTGAACTGAATTGTGATAGTTATATGTATGGCATGAGTATGTTCAGTTTCAAGGGTTCTTGGAGAGCTGTATCGCCATGCTCATTTCCGAGTATGCATTTGGTACAGGTTCTAGTCTCGAAGAAGAAAAAGGACAAGTCGGAGCAAATATATTTCGGTGCTAAAGTGCCTAATCTTGGTCTTTCGGTTTGATTTTACTAGGTTGGCATTGTGAAGAAGGAAAACATCAAAATCCATGGATTCTAAGATGCAGCAAGCTCAAGGCTTTCTGCTAACTTGTGTGCCTTGTTTCGAACCCGGAATTAGTACCCGATTAGGAAAATATAATAATATCTACGCTGTTATATCATCACTATGTAGCGATTTTTGCATTTTGTTAAGAATAGTGGTGGAAATATTTGATTAGCTATGAAATAATAGAAGCCTGCAATAATTGATGATGTTATTTTCTGGATGAACTTTCATTGAAGTGAAAATGAACATATCGTTTGCTAGTGTGATATTCCATTAGAAGGGGAGGAAGAAGGTGGAGCATATTTCACCAAAGACAAATCAAACCAAGTATTTAAATCATATTTCAGGAGCTCATGCATGGTATAAATTAATAATATTGGGATCATGTAATTTTATTAATTTAAAGATATTGATTAATCGTTAAATTAATAATTTATTAATTTAAAGATTTTTTTCCCCAAGAACTCATATTATTATTCACGAGGTTGATACGGTGATTAATGGTTTTGGATACTGTAATAAAATGGATGTCAATTGCCTATTGAATTATTCGGATAAAAATAATACATGTTCAAAGGTCCAGAGTTTAAAAAAATTTGTAGTTGATGATATTGAAAATCGTATTTAGGATAAAACTAAAAATGATATGTCTTTACAACTAATTACGGGAAAAGAAACAATTACAAGAGAAAAAGTGTATGCATAGAATTTTAATAGAATCTATAATTTGTAGTGTTGATCAACCTCTCAGGTTTACTCACCGATCAAATTGCTTTTGGTATTTAGTTCCTTAATTTTATGTATTTCTCCTATAATTTATTCGATTCAACTTAAATTTAAATAGAGATTAAAATAACTCGAACTTGAATATCAATACTATTAACTATAACATCAATATCGTAGCGATTAATGATGGTTTCTGTTAATAAAAACTTATAGGGTAAAGTATACAAATAATCTCCAGACTATAGAGTGGGCAAAACTTTCGAGATAATGTTCTGGAAAAAATTAATTCACGAGATAAAGCACTCCCAAGATTAATTGCTCAAATAAGGTGAAATCCAATGTTGGTCGTAGGTCGCCATGCCTTCAGGGCGACCTACTAGGTCGCCATGTCTTCCCGGCGAGCTACAAGAGATTGCATGTGCCATGCACGTCCCAACACGCTGGGCATCTGAGGCCATCCGACCGAGGCCATCCGAGAGCATCCGAAAGCATCCGAGGTCATCCGAGAGCATCCGAGGCCATCCGAACGAGCTATGCGAGGGCATCCGAGGTCAACCGAGCGAGCTATGCGAGGGAATCCGAGGGAAGCCGAGCGAGGGTAGGTCGCCCGGAGGGTATGGCGACCTATTTGTTGGGACGTGCATGTGCATAGGTCGCCCGGAGGGCATGGCGACCTATGTGTTGGGACGTGCATGTGCCATGCAACACGTTCATTCTCTCTGTTTGAGCAAGGGTAGGTCGCCCGGAGTGCATGGCGACCTACAAGGTCGTCCGGAGTGCATGGCGACCTACGGCCAACACTGTGGATTTCACCCTATTTGAGCAATTAATCTTGGGAGTGCATTAGCTCGTGAATTAATTTCTTTCAGAACATTATCTCGAAAGTTTTGCCCTATAGAGTGTTACTTTATTAAGTCTCTAATTATTAAAAGTTATAAAATAGACATTTGACTACAAGGTGTTGCTTCGTTGATTCCTTCCACTAATAAAAGTTATAAAATAATCACCTGACTAATCATATATTCCAAACTCGTCATTTTCTATTAAAATATCGATAATTATTTGAGTTGGACGTTAACATGTTGATTCGGATGTGATAGTCGTTTGAGATTTTGAGATAAAATTTTATCGTATCTCAATCAACAAGTTACCGTCTAGCTTATACTGCCGCCAATTTTTATCAAAAAAGGATGAATTTAGAATATATGAATAATCAAATGATTATTTTATAACTTTTAATAGTTATAAAACTTAACAAAACAACACTCTATAACCTAGTACCATTTTATTTTATAGGCCACCGTTGAAACTAGTCTATTAAAATTGTATATAAATATTTGAAACCCTAAATAAATAATCAATCACTTTCAACCGAAACCTTTAAAGAGCTGAACTCTCACTTCTTCCGAGAATTTGATCCCAAATCCACTTTCTTCAAGAGATATTGGCATAACGAAATGTCCGGCGGAGGCGACGGTGCAGATGAAGGGGAAAGTATGTCGCCGACACAGGAGTTAAACGATGCCATAACGTATGTAAACGCAGTCAAGGAGGCGTTTCAAGATCAAGAAGAGAAGTATGTCATGTTCCTTCAAGTCATGACCGATTACATGGTTCAAAGGTATACTGAGTTTCGAAACCTCGAGCTTTTATTGACGGACAACGAACTTGTAGCTCTACTAATATTCGGTACATCTTTTGCCTTATGCAGGACTGACATAATTGGTGTCTTTGCCCGAGTGAGAGAGTTATTCCAAGGGCACGACAACTTGATTTCTGGGTTTATTGCCTTCTTGCCCAAGGGGGATCAGGAAGGTAACTTCTTTAATCAATTCTTGAAATGGGTTTGCTGTCTTCAAAGATTACTCCTTTGTCAAAAACAATTCAATTGTTTTCGGTTTTCGGCTTTACAGGGATGGA